TACTAAGTATATGCATGTATAAATAAAATATCATAATGAAAATGTGATCAATTAGGATGTGAATATGGGTATTATCTTTCTCCAGACTCATTAGCCAACACGAATACCCACATCCACAAAGTGTTTCTAAGAATCCTTCGAGAATAAAAATACTCATACTTTTCTTGAGTCATATTTATGAAATGTAAGATTGTCATTCATGCAATGTATTCGATTCAGTACTATGTACTTTTCTTCAAATTACAAATTATTTTGTTAGATTAGAACTTCAAATAAAAGAATTCAATTCTCAACCAAAGTTCAAGAACTTTTACCGATTCATAGATTAGATAAAATAAATTTTCAAATTTAAGGTGCACGGAAATCAAAGTTGCAGTGAAACTTTTTATTTTTATACACCATTCGATAGAGAATTTCAAGGCGATCAAGAATATGTGTGCCTTGCGTTTTCCTAAACCTTTCTTCCGGTTGAAAAATTGAAAATATTCGGAACGTGTCGAAAACTAGTAATTTGAGAACTTTTGATAGATTTCTTTTCTTTTTAAATATGTTACAAGATAGAATCTTCTAACTTAGTTTTTCTCATTCGTCATAGAAAACTGAATAAGAAACTGGTTTTAAACCATTTTTAGAACAAAGCATTGGCTCACAAAATAGTTTCCCGAGACTCATGCTCAAAAACCGGAACTTAATTTTGCAAGTCTATCACAGATGTTTTTAGAAATGTTAGAGCCAATATTTTTACATGGGTAGATCGAGTAGATGTGTAGCTTCAAAGTTACGAAGAGATTTCTCAAAAATTCCTTTTCCTCACTGAGAAAAATCAATTTTACTGAGGATACCTCAAAATCGGCCAGATGATTTTCGGTTATTCTTTTCTGTTCTCTCCCAACATAGTCAAAATATACTCAAATAGGTTAAAATTGATGCCCAACCCAACAGATATGCTTCGGAGATCTTTAGAAGTTTTCTGGAAGGTTTTCAAAAGATTTCTAGAAGGTCTTTCAGCCAAGAGCACGTAGTTTATTGGGTTCCGAACTGCATAGATGCAACTGAAGTGGAAGCAAAATATTTTCTGTTCGTTAAAGTATCTACTGGTATATTTATTCCAACATAGTCACAATGAAAATCACAAATGAAAACAAGAAGAAAAAAATCATCATTTTAAAATCACAAACTAAACGTTTAAGTTACTGTTACTAATACGTGTATGGGTTTGAACTGTTCCATCACATTTAGTACCAAAGAACATCTTCATTACTTCCGCATATGACTGACCATCTCTATAAACCAATAAACATTTCCAGAATCTTTTCAATAATTTCAAGTGCATTTCAAAGCTCGTCTGGAAGCTTTTCAGAAAATCTCTAAAGCTCTCGAAAGTATGTCTGTTGGATTGGGCATCAATTTTAACCTATCTGAGTATATTTTGACAATGTTGGGAGAGAACAGAAAAGAATAACCGAAAATCATCTGGCCGATTTTGAGGTATCCTCAGTAAAATTGATTTTTCTCAGTGAGAAAAAGGAATTTTTAAGAAATCTCTTCGTAACTTTGAAGTTACACATCTACTCGATCTAACCATGTAAAAATATTGGCTCTAACATTTCTGAAAACACCTGTGATAGACTTGCAAAATTAAGTTCCGGTTTTTGAGCATGGGTCTTGGGAAATTATTTTGTGAGCAAATGCTTTGTTCTAAAAATGGTTTAAAACCAGTTTCTTATTCAGTTTTCTATGACGAATGAGAAAAACTAAGTTAGAAGATTCTATCTTGTAACATATTTAAAAAGAGAAGAAATCTATCAAAAGTTCTCAAATTACTAGTTTTCGACACGTTCCGAATTTTTTCAATTTTTCAACCGGAAGAAAGGTTACGAAAACGCAAGGCACACATATTCTTGACCGCCTTGAAATTCTCTTTCGAATGGTGTATAAAAATAAAAAATTTCACTGCAACTTTGATTTCCGTGTACCTTACTATCACATGAATAGAAATATGTTCATAGTTATTTCTTGTTGAATTATATTTTTCGTTTATTTCGTATTACACAGATAAGAAGTTGCTATGGCGACTTTTTGTTGAATGTCGTTTTTCGTTTATTTCCTTCAATTTAAATAGGAATATGTTTGTAGCTTTTTTGTTGCTGAACATTATTTTTTGTTTATTTCCTTCCATAGGAATAGGTATGTTTTGGTACTTGTTTGTTTTTGAATACTGTTTTTCACGTACTTCCTGCCATATGAATAGGAATCTGTTCCTAGTTATTTGTTTTTGAATATTGTTTTTTTGGTGTGTTTCCTATCATGTGAATAGGAATATGCGCATAGTTATTTGTTTCGGAGTATTGTTTTTCGTTTATTTCCTACCATATGAATAGGAATGAGCTCAGTTATTTGCTTTTCAACATTGTTCTTCGTTTATTTCCTACCACATGAATAGAAATATGTGCATAGTTATCCGTTGTTGAACATTGTGGTTTTGTGTGTTTCCTATCATGTGCATAGGAATATATTCTTGATCCTTTGTTTTTGAATATTGTTGTGGTTAATTGGGTTTGAATAGTTATCAAATGTCTAAATACTATTTAAGTCAAGGATAAATATAATGAAAAATGGGTTAAGTGGGGTTGACATCTGTATCCATGAGCATGCATGCAGTTTTGAATGCATTGTAATGCATTGAAAAAATTTAATGTATGCAATTATATGATAATGCAACCTATTTAATGCAGTGTAATGCATTGAAGTGGTCATCCATTGCAATGAATTGAATTAAGAAATGCATTATAATGCATGAAATGGATTGCATTATCATGTAATTGCGTCCATTGCATTTCTTTTGGAAAATAATGCATTACAATGTATATTATTTCACAAAATCGGCTACATGGATAGTATGACTTTCTAATAAATTTTCTATAGAATTGATAAAAGACATGAATAATTATATGATTGAATCGATTGCTTGTTTCTTTGTACTCAACGAACTTCTTGTGTTCTTTAGTCTACTTCTAATCTTTTCTTCTTGATATTCGAAAATAAGTTGATTTAATAATGGAAGAATCTATTAGAACTTGACTTGCTCAGCTCTGAAATCTATTTGAGTAATTCTACTAATGCTATCATCCTTAATTCCATTATACTTCTATCAATTGTGACTTTGTATTTTTAGAATCAAAACACAAATGTAAATAACGAGTAGAACGATATATGACATTTTTTTTTCTTTAAAGAATGACATCTGTCGCATCGAAATATTAGTTCAAAATATTTGTAACCCAATTTTTTCGCACGAAAAATAATTCAAAGGAAAGAAAAAATAAGTATGTTAGAATTTTTCTTTCACATTTACATTTTTGATGAAAATTAATACGTAAAAAAAGGGACTTTGATTGTATGTATATGATTCTTATTATAATCAGAATTCTATCATATAATATATCATTTATCAACATCTACAACACTATAATTTTTTGCTTCATTTATTTAATATGCACTTTTTCTCTTGGTTGCTATTAATATTAATAAAAGATAGACTCACTATCCTAGCATATAACAAAAAATTACCTTTGGGATGACTAAGGTCCAGGAAGATAAAAGTAAGTCTTGTAAAGCACAGAACAGATGCATGATAGGTGTTGCATGAAACTCGGGATAAAATAAATTTATTCATCAAAGTAGAATTAATAATGCGTATGACAATATAGACCATAGGTATAATATTTTATCGGCACATATATTCTATATATAGAACTTAGTTTTCTCATTAATATATACGACTGTTGACGAGTAAAAGATTAGTCATGATATGTAAAAAAAAGCTTTCAAGTCAAATAAGTATGCTTTGATTATAATGAATATACGCAAATATTTTAATTAATCTTCATGCATCAAGAAAAATGAATAAGATTAAGTTCTAATTTACTTTTTACTTAAATAAATTTAAAGACATATTTAATTGACTAATTTATCAAAGATTTATAAATAAATGAATTCCTTGTTCTACATGTTATTTTTTTTGTTATCTTTACTGTTCCGATATATGAGAGAAATCTTGTTGACACTTTCGTGATCTATCAAAGTACTTTTTAGTCGAGTTATTTTTGTAAATCATATATCTATATCTATATATATATTCATGTATAGATATGCGATTTCTTTTCTTTTTGTAATTCTTTTCGCTTAAAGAAAATATCTTCTTAAACTCTTTCAATATCAAAGCTTATGGCTTACTTCGGGTAACTCTCAAAGCTAATCAAAGACTTATCAAACTTCTTCGATTTGTAATAAAATAGATTAGCTAACACGTGATATCTGTAATATAGACAGACGAGATAATGATGAATATGGTTTTCATATAACTAAGTGAATTATTAAAGAAAATAATATTTTATAGCTGATATATAGGGTAATTGAATCAAAATGAGTAAGAGTTTTATATATCAGTAGAAGTTATATTTTTTCTGAAATATTATTCTAGATCTTGTCTTTGATTTCGTGTTCTAGGATAATTTTGAACTATAAGTCATTTATCGATAATTAGAGACAAAAATTAGAAAGTATGATAACGTGATAAACATTCATCGACTATCATATTTCTTTCAAGAAGTATACAACAGAAATTCAAAAACAACATTTATTCATCATATTAATATGCAAAAATACTCATTTCCAAAAACGTTCAACTTTCTTAACTAAACTTGAAATAATCGACTTTTTGTGGACAAGAGCCATACTTTATTCGATACATTTGGTAAGAATAATTATTTATATAGAACTATCAATGATAGGTCTACACTAACACTTCATAGGTTAACATAGAAAAAGAAAAGCAGAAAGAATAAAAATATAAGAGCGAAAATCTCAATAAAAGCATCAGTCAATAGTCAAGAATAAGGAAGAAAAAAAGACTTATTATTAGAACTACGGTTTATTATTGTATTCTAACGTAACAGTATAATTTAGTACGAAGTAACAACAACTGCATCATTTTTATTATGGCAATAGTTGAAACATCAACAATAATATCAACAACATTAACATTATCAGTTAAATATCCTTTATATTATCATCAATTTCGAATAATTCATAATATTCTTGTTAAAATTTCATTTCCATATATTTTTTTAATAGCTAGTATTGGTTTTATTACTAATACATCAACTATTGTTCTTTTATCAAAACATTCTATAACAAAAAATTTGAAAAATAAATGGACATTAATTGCATTAGGTATGTATCATTTAATATAACAGACTAATTCTCAAATTTAATATTTCGTTTATTTAATACATATAAATAAGAATATTTATTTATAGTTAACTTAAATATATTTTTTCTACCTTCAAAAAAAAACATTGAATATATTAATAAATACAAAGCCTAGCACTTTCAAAGCCTAATCATTTTCATTTCATGAGAATGATTTTAATCAGTATTTCAAAGAACTGATTAAATATTCATTGCGTGTGAACGATATCTGATTTACATAGATTATTTTTTTTTAATTTTCGTATTATACATGATAAAAATAAAATTATTTATAATTTGCTTACAGAATAACAAAACAAAAAAAACAATCGCGTAAATAATATATCAATGATTTATATTTGCTCATGAATAAGAACATATAATTGCGTAGTAGAAGAAAAAAATCAGAAAAATTCTCATAGAACTTGGATTTTATTTTACTTTTTTTTTTTATATTATTTTGATAAAAATATGATAAAAAAATGTCTTTGTTGGTATTCAATGAATGTTACATCTTGACTTAAAATGATAATCATTATTAATTAAAATAATCAAGTACTATATAAAGAAAATTATTTGTCCGAGAAAGTTTTCATTTAACATGCAAAGAAAATTTTTAGTATATATTTTGTTTAAAATAACTCAACTAAAAATAAACGGAAATATAGAAACAAAAAAAAAAAAAGAAATGTCTAATGAATAGTACAGAATTCAATTAATTCATGCGAAAAAAGCATTAATTGAAGGATTAGATAATTATATTTCAAACGACATTAGTTTAATAAACTCCCCCGTAATAAAAGGTCTCGGGTCTTGTATTGTGGCGCGTCAAATCAGGTCTGAATTTTGGTCGATTCCGCTTGGAAAAAAACACAAAATTTGTATGGAGCGATCGTCCAGGAAAGCCTGATAATCAAGGGGGCCTTATAATCAGGAAGAGGCTTCTATTCTGGGAAGGGGTTTACAAGATAGAACAGTCGGACATAGAAGTCCGGTGAAACTCTGTTTCGATTACAATTAGATTATTTTGCACAAAAAAAAAACTTATAAACGATTGTAGAGATTTTTATTCGTTTTTAATTTATGAAAATTTCCTAAATCTATTTATTATTTTGATCTTTTTTTTTGGCATTATAATCGAAACAGTGCTTTTACTGGATTATGATTAAAAAAAACATATGTTTATTTTTTTAGCTCTTAGTGATCTTCTTTTTAATATTGCATTAATTATTCGTGGAATTCATGATATTGTTAAAGGAAATTCTGATCATCTTTGTTTAATAATATCATTTCTCAGTCATTTAGCTGAACTTTTATCAGCATGTTATACTGTTTCATTTACTATTCAACGTTATTTAGCTGTTCATTATCCATTTAAAACTGCTGTTCATCGTCGTTCGTCACCATTTATTTCTCTTTTATTTATATTTATATTAAGTTTAATATTTTGTTTTATGTTATCATATGAAAATACTTATGTAGATTGTCATGAAGAATTGAAACTTGGTTGGTTTATAGCTGATGCTTTTATTTCTTTTGTTATACCATTTTCTATTATTTTAATATTTAATATACTTATTGTAAATTTTATTCGTCAACATTCACGTTCACCTATTAATATACAATCAACATTATTAAGAAAGAAAAAAAAATTAAAAACTAAAGATAGTATATTTCATCAAGATGATACATTTGATACAGAAAAAAATACTAGAAATGTTAGTGGTACATATATTCACACGGATGAAACTCAAAATATAGAAATAAAATTTAAAAAAGAAGATCAATTACCATCATTAGAAATGAAATATCAACAACGGCAACCATCAATCTCATTGGTAAATATTTATTATTTATAAATATAAATTAGTTATGAGAAAAGAAAAACTGAAAATATATATTATTTGCTTGCATATGTTAAGAAATATCTAAATATCATCAACAATTCAAGTCAAAAAAAAAACAAAGTCATCGCATGTCTTCAATGGACTTTCTATTTTTAGTTTCATTAATCAAAATTTTTTCTTCATGTTGACAACAACTTTGAGCAAAAGATTTATATATTTTTTACTGCGTATGTCTGATTATTCTAATAACATGATAAACATTATTATTTTTAAGCAAACTCTTCAGTATAATATTAATCAAAATTGTAAGAATATTTAGAATGTCATTCTATATTAATTTTTATAGTTTTCTACTCAAATAAGATGTCCTATGAGGTTTTATATGAGATTACATAGAAAGAGTTTACACAATTTAGAATATATATTTCATAGAGAAGTATAGGATAAACTTTTTTTCATACAATATAACTTGTCTAAGAAAAATTTTATTATCTTAATTGTATCCTACATTGCAGGTTAGGATATGCATAATTGAACTACAAGCTCTCTACTGCACATTGTTCTTGTCCGAAGCTTAACTTAATTTGCATTCGTATGCACTCTAACCATACTTTGCATACTTCTCATATTTTTTTATGAATATAAGTTATATATAAAGAAGACTGAAGGCAAAGTAAATTTTGTTAAAATTATAAAAAAGATACCAAAGCTTTTTAGATAAGTATTATTGTGTAAAAAGAGTGGTACCATGAAATCTAATGGAAAAATAAAATATGTCTTAAAAAGTTTCTTTTTCTTTTCTAAATCAGTAAGATTTACTTCTATTCATATTTGTCAAGATTACTTCTTAACTTTATCCTATTATCTTATTTTACTATGTCATAGTCATCTTTTGAATTTAGTCCAATGACGATCATTTCCTTTTTATTAATAAGTTTCAATTATGATAATACAAATTCATTCCGTCTCGTTTCCATAGGAAATAAGTTTATTTTCAAAAGATTATGTACTCTTTCTTTAACTTCAAGGATATCTTTAATCCTTATCAAAAATCTTTTCTTACTAGAAATTATAATTACAAAAGAAATGTTGAATAACTCTGAATTACAAGACTATTTTCTTCAATTATTTCAAATAAATTCTCCGGATTCTTCCATCAACCGACTGAGACAATCATTATCAAACTAATTCTTTTTTTTTTCTTCGTTATTCTCTTTAGTCATTTAATCGAACTCATTCTGACAAATCACCAAATCGTCCTCATTTTCGATCCAGATTTCGTCGATCTGGTTTATCAAAACTTACTTCTCATGTTTATAAAAATCCAATATCCCATTCATTTTCTTATGGATTATCAAGAAAATCATCATATCAATCGACTGATAATGGATTCGTCTCTACAATGTCAACAAGAACATATCAATCAATACGTGTTACACGTATGCTTATTCTTGTTTCAACTTGTTTCCTAATACTTAATGCTCCAGCACATTTATTTGTTATTGCACTTAAAATTTATACTAGTATTGATGTACCAGTATTCAATGAACATATTAAAACTGATCTTTATCAGTCAACTAGAAATATCACTATTTCTGAAATAGTAAATTTTGTTTCGAATAATGAAATTCATAATCAAACAAATAATACAACAATATTATCTCCATTTCAACATGAAGGAATAATTGAAGATCAAATAACAATACATTTATTTTATATGGCAATTTTATTAACACAATTAATAGCATATGCATCTTATTCAATGAATTTTTTTCTTTATTCATTCTGTGGAATTGCTTTTCGAACAAGTTTTAAACAGTTAATTAATCCATTTCGAAGACATTAGTATTTTAACTTTTGTTTTTTTGTAAAACAAAAATACAGATAAAATCTTCTCTTTTTTTGTCAGTGTATGTGTAATAAGAATACAACAAATTATAGTCGACATGTTATCATATTTTATATAGAGAATATTTCAAATTTAATGGCTACTCAAGCATATTCATGAATGAGAAAGAATCTTGTTAATCATAAGAAAAATAAGTCAAACTAATTATTTATCTTTGCTTTATTCCAAGATCAGAACTCTTCTCATACAAATAATGATAATCTAGTAATATTTTCAGTGCAAAAAAAGATATCTTCGAGCTAATACAATTATTTTTCCCATAATATAACGTTGTTACTTTGAAGAGCATTTAGTAAGTTTTGGTTTACACGAAAACTCGTACGTTTTTACATGGTTCATCAATGGAAAAGGCTGATCTTAACAATATATAAATATATAGTCGATACCTCTACATGTCATATGTCAGAGTTCTAAATATTCAATTCTTATTTCGACAGCGATGAAATTGTTTTTCATGAAATTTTTATCAGAGATGTAGCTCGGAAAATTACAATAGCAATTAGTGATTGGAGACCTATCAACTGAATAAGAAGGAAGTTACAAATCTAGTATTATTCTGAAATGAGTTGTCTTGTCTTTTAGTCTACAACAGGTTTTTTTCGCTGAATTCATTGATCATTTTCATGGTGATTGTTTTTCACATCATCAACATAGATTTCATCGGAAACCTATCCAATGTCGAGAGATATTTTTGTCCTACAAGCTTTATTTCAGCTCTCAGAAGGTGCGACCAGAAAAATGATTGGTAAATTCAGCGAAAAAATGTACTAGAGATTGAAAATGAATAATCGAAAAAGAACTTTTTCCAAATTCCATTAACGTTCAAAACTATGTAGCTTTTATTGTAACCCGTTCGTCTTATTTCAAACAATTGTTTTCCCAATTCTTATCGTTATGATAGAAGAATCTTACGTATATGTGAAGGCTCTAAAGACAAAGTGTCTTGGATGTAATAGAAGATTCTTTCTTAATCATTTAATTAATTCAAAAACTATAACTTCAATGAATATGTGAGCTATTTCACGCACAACAGTGTATACCAACCTTTCATTTGATTTTGATTTTTTATAAGGACTTTTTTGTCTAGCTAAATATCTCTATTATAGACACATGTAAAAAAGTTGACTCTTCCAGTTAACTCTTAATTCAATTTAATTAGTTCATTAAATCATTGATTAAAAAGTAATTAGCGAATATCTCGCTAACCAAGCGAGAAAAAATCTGAAAACTTCGGAAGGGACTCTATAGTACAAACTAAAACTATTTGTCTTACTATCATCTAGAGATTCTGAAGAAGGATTTGTACTGTTTGGAATTAGTTTCAAACTTCTCATTCGGTTATGAGAGTATTTTTTCGTTTATATATTCGTACTCTGGCATGTCGCTAACAAAAAGTAAATCGAGTTTCTTGAAAAATCTAGGCATGTTCAAAATAAACTGTAGAAAGAGATTTTGTAGCCTGAGGAATTGTCTACAGAATATACTATTTAGTTTTCAATACGAATGCCTCTATTCCGAGTTTTTAACCTAAGATGCATGAAATGAAAGTCAATGTTCTTTTTTGTGTCATTTCCCTAACGCTAGTTTTTTTTTTATTGATAACTCCTCCAAACAACAGTCTCTAGTGCT